GGGGGGGGGGGGCGGGGGAGTGGGTATAAAAAGGGAGGCCGCTCCGACCGAGGTCCAAGTTAAACTTTCACTCCTCGTCCAAGAATAACGAAGGTTGACCGGTCATTCAGTCGGACTCGAACCGCGACGCGATGATGACATCCACTCCGCCCGTCGTCCTCCTGTTCTGCCTCCTCGCCGGGGCTCGGGCTCTCGCCGTCCTCCGCACCACGTCGGGGACCCTCACGGGGGTTTCCAGGGATTCCGTGACGATGTACCTGGGTGTTCCCTATGCCGCTGCTCCGGTCGGGGATAGGAGGTTCCAGCCGCCGGTGGACTTTGCGTCTTCGAATCCTCGACTCGCTCAGAGCTTCGGTGACTCCTGCGTTCAGCCCGGTCACGCCGTGGACGTCATGCACCCTCAGCTGACCCAACGAGAAGCGACCAAGGTCACGAGCGAAGACTGCCTCACTCTGAATCTCTTCGTTCCCGCCGTTCCCGAGAATTGTTCCTGCGATCCCCTGCGTCCCGTCATGATTTGGATCCCCGGAGAGGGCTTCAATTACGCCGATGCCTCCCAGTTCGACGCCTCTCAGATGGCCGCTCAGGGGAACGTCGTCGTCGTGACCGTCAACTACAGAGTCGGTGAGTAAACGGCACGGAACCCGTGGCTTTTCCTTGATTTTCGTCGAGGTTACTTCTCTTCGCTTTGACTCGGAGTCGTTATCGTTATAGAGCGTCGATCTTAGTCGTCCGTGAGGTTAAGATCGCGACGAGATGTAGGAACTATGAATCGCATCGTGTCCTCTTCTCTCGTACAGGCGTTTTCGGGTTCCTGAGCATGGGGACGGAAGATGCGCCTGGAAACGTCGGAATCCAAGACGTTCTCTCCGCCCTGCGATGGGTGAAACGCAACGCTCGAGCCATCGGAGGAGACGCTCGAAGGATCACGATCTTCGGCCGTTTCTCCGGCTCCATGATCGTCTCCACCCTGCTGACTTCTCCCGCGGCGAAAGGTCTCTTCCAGAGAGCCATCCTCCAGAGCGGCGTCGCCACGGGTCCCTACATCGTGGAGAAGGAACCGGAGAAAGCGGTGAAGAGCCTGGCACACCGCCTCGGCTGCCCCCTCGACGACACCCTCCTCCCCTGCCTCAAGTCGGTGGACACCCAGACCCTCCTGCAAGAATCCCAGTTCGTGGCCCAGCAATGGAGGCCCGTCCTGGACGGCGTCGTCGTCCCTCGGGATCCTCTCGAGGCCGCGAAGGGGAAGAAGGCGCACGAAGACGTGGAGGTCCTGATCGGGGAGAACCGAGGAGACGGGTCTCTCTGCTATCTCACTCATTACTTCCTCAATTCGTCTCACCACGGGAAGATCGCGAACGACACCCTCGACGAGGAAGACTTTCAGGACCTGATTCGAGATCATCTCCGCGATTACTTGAAAGTGGACGAGCCGGCTCTGATCGGGGCCGCCGTGCACGAGTACCACTACGCCCGGCCTTCGGAGTACTCCTTCCGGGACCAGTACTTGAACTTCTGTCGTCACATGTACACGGGGTGGTCCACCGAAGCCTTTGCGAGATCCTTGGCATCTCAAGGCCTTAAGGTCTTCCGATACGAATTCGCCACCCGTCCCGGACAGTCCCGCCAGCCCGATTTCCTCGGCGCCGCTTTCGGCGACGAAGTCCCGTTCGTATTCGGCTTTCTTCAATCGGGAGACGAGAAGGAATTGGATCTTCAGGATTCCATCGTCAAGTACTGGACTTCCTTCGCTGCCCACGGGTGAGGATGCTTTCCGTTCTAGTGCTTTTTCAAGTTTGAGGTCACTAGGACGCGGGACGAGCGACCTTCGGTTCGACGGAATTTTTTTTCGGAGGGGGGGGGCGATTGCTTCACAAGTTTCACAATGCATCGCGTTAGGAGGAGTGTTCGTACTCGATGACCTGCATTTATTATTCTATCTCTCTGTCATCTTCGCAGGGATCCGAACGGGCAGGTGTCCGTGAACGCGGAGGAATGGCCTCAATTCGTGCCAGAAACCTGGTCGTACCTCGTCCTGTCCAAGGACGACCTCGGGGTGAAATCCAGTTCGGAGACGAGATCCCGGGATCATCATTTCTGGACCGAGGTCATCCCGTCCATCCTCGGAGGTCAGAGGTCGTCGAGGAGGACGCCGTGCAGCCTCCTCGGCGACGTCCAGGGAGCGAAGGAGGACTCGGTGGAATTCCCGCACGCCGAGCACCTCCTCCTCGGCCTCTCGGCCGCCACGCTCGTCCTCATCCTCTTCACCGTCGCCTCCATCTTCTGCCTCTTCCGCATCTCGCAGAGAACGAAATGAGAGACGAACGAGGGGCTTCGTCGTTCCGAGTCCGTGACTGTGATATCTTTCTCCCTCCCCTACTTTTAAATTATTCTGGATTTCCTCGCGATCGCAGGCTCTCTTCCTTAACGAGTACAAATATTCCTCGTGAGCCTGTTTTTTTTTTTTCTCGCCGTGTCTTTCGATTTCTTTTCTTCCGGTCTCTGAGAGAATTGGATGAGCATCAGTATTACGATTTCGAAAATGCAAAGACCGGTCTGTTTCACCTGAATGGGCATTCCAAGTCAAAATGTGTAAATAAAGTGATTTGAATACGACCAGGCGTTTTCAATCCGTCGAGACGAATTTCTTTCGTCCTGCAATGGCGTCGGATAAGACGAGGAAAAAATGAAATGGAGTCTCCGACGAAATGAAATGGAGTCAGGAATCGGGGAGGAACAGGGTTCCCGATGCGCCAGACCTGAATTGACAAGGAAGAATTGATAATTTATTATGAAATAATTGATCATATCAATGAATTCTTTCGAAAAACTTTTCCCGTTACTTATCAGAAGTAGCGGTAACATCAGCCTCATAGATTCGGTCGCGGTTATCAAATAGCGACCCTGTCCACGTCATAATAGATTTCTTAGCTGGGAAGGGCGATAATTATCGCAAGAGCCGATAATTATCTTCAGTCCGGCCGAAAGTCTAGGAACAACATCGGTCGAATAACTGGAAAATAGAGGAAGAGGGATTTTTTTTTTTTTCCGGGAGAGAAAGCGGAGGAAAGGTGAACGGCCCTCGAGTGAAAGGGGAGAGGGGGGGAGAGGGAGAAGGAAGACACAACAATGAAAAACAAGCTTATTTTGTTCCCTCGCCATTCGGGACTGAACTTCCGTCGGTTGAACTCGTCGGTTGTTTGCGTCCCCTTTCCTCGCGTTCAAGGCCGCAGACGCAGCGACTAAAAAAAGAACGGAACACCTGGACGGCCTTTATTTCGGACGGGGTCGTCGAAATGCGAAAGCAACGGATCCCCCCCC